CCCTCCCCCCTCTCTCCCTCTCTCCCTCTCCCCATCCCCGTCTTTTTTAATGAAGTGACTGCTTCCCATGTGCCCAGACTCTCCCAGTTCCCACACTGGGTGGGCCTAGAGGAAGAGTCCCAAGAATACTCCTTACAAGAGGAACTCTGGTTCCTGGGCTGGGAAATCGCTTTCGATGAGAGACTGTCTTGCTGTTCCCTGACTTCCTGAAAGCTGTGCTCTGCTTAAACTAGGGCACATGGCTTTGAGGTAGCTCCTGCCCCTCTGGCTCTTTCCATTGTGTCAGGAAGTAGCCTGAGCCTGAGACAGGAGAAGGGCCCTGAAATTAAGAAGTGGGAGGGATTTACAGGCAAAGATGGCATTCAACATGCCACCCTCTCCTTCAGGGCACATCTGCTCAGTCCAGATCTCCCCATTTCTCTCCCTTCCTCACCTTGCTCACAGTAATTCTTATATGCATCACATGAGTGTATGTCCATTCTTCTGAAGCTGTGCATGCAAACCAAGGGTGCCCTTAATCTTTGAGCCCTAAAGCTGAGTAGCCTAAGAGGCTGCATTGCATAATGCTAGGTGAACAGCACCCCTGCTGTTGGATAGTTTGACCCAGAACAGCCATGTACAGCTGCCCTGATGGGTCCCCAGAGAGTCTGCTCTGTAAACAGGTGACTTCCTGTTCTGTGAAGGAACCCATGAATGCCATGTTCCAGCCTTCTTGCCTGATGCCATAGCTACCCCATGGTGGCTGTTTTCTCAAGCTCTATTCAAGATTTTAGTTATGAAGGGAGAAACCAAGCAATTTCCAGCAGAGTGACTCTGCATCTAAGATGCTTTTTCCCTTTTTCAGAGATGGTAAGGTTAAGCAGCTTCACAAGCCAGCACACGTGAGGCAACAGGAAGAGCATGTGGAAAGGTTCTGAGGCAGAAGCATTGTTGCTGTGATTTAAGAATCACTAACTTCAGGTGCAGCTGGAGGTGGAGCATGGTAAGAAATCTGGTCAAGGGTTAGATAGGGCAGATCATGTAGGGGTTTGTAAAGTACCAGAAGGACTTTGCTTTTTACTCTGATCAAGGTTCAAACATTAGATGTTATAACCACAGACAAAGGCAGAGTCCACTGAACTGAGCTCAACTCACGTTTCATTACTCTAAAAATATTTTTAGAATGACTTAAAAACCTGGAGGAATTTGACTGCTGCTTTCATATAGCTATATGAGTTGATTCCTAACTTACTTTTGACAATTTTTTTGCCAAGTTTTTATTTTGAGAACTTTTATTACTAAGTATCAGAAGACATGATTGTGTCCATCCACTTTTAAGGTACACACACACACACACTTAAAGCTAAATGTGGTGAAATATACTATGTATTTATAATCTGAGCTCTTAGTGGATAGAGACACCAGATCAGGAGTTCAAGGCCAGCCTTAGCTACATAGTGAATTTGAGGCCAATCTGGGCTTCATGAGACCTTGTCTCAGGATCAGAGAAACAGACAAACAAAAAATAAATTGAGAAAAATCTTACTGGAATAGGATTTTATTAAAGAACCAGAATGTAGGACTTCACTGCTAAAGCCTCATACAGAATGATAGTGAAATCTCTTATCAGGAGGTATGTGTGGAGAATAATAATTAAATACCATTTTTAAGGGGAAAGCTTTATAGCCATTGTGATTAAATATGACACTTAAGTCAGACTTCCCAAGATAGCAAAAAGAGTCATTCTTAAAATACTGGATTTTTAGGAATAATTATTGGTGTGATTATGCACAGTGGGATTAATTTTTTAAATGAATGTTAATTTCAATGGGGAAGTAGTCTTTCAAGGAGTGAGTGGCATGTTGGATGTACAGTATGTGAAGGTCTAATTTGCATTTACTTCAGTGACATTTTAGGTCTCTTCATAAATATTTTATTTAAACAAGAGTGTTTTTATCTCTGTGGGATCCCGCTACATGGACCAGTGAGTGGTTTAGTCACGAGGTAACTATCAAGAGAGAAAAACAAAAGCAGAACCTGGTGCAGGCCCCACAGGCAGGCTCCTAGCCAGCTGCCTCTTTCAGAATAAACAATCAAAGGCACAGACTTTGATGTGGGCCAGAGTCTCAAGGAAAAATGAAGCTGAGGGTGGAGGAACACCCGTGGGGTAGTGCACAGGTGATGCCATTGGAAAGAAGGCGGACTGGCACCCCTGTGTGTGAGCAGATGTGGTTGCCATGTGATTAGCTAGGAAAAAAATATACACACATTTCTTCATCAGATGAAGCTGTTCAGAAGGGCAGGGTGCATATAAGGGGACCAAGTCAGGAGAGCAGTCACATCGTGAGAGGGTAAGTGTGGAGTATGAGTATGTGCTTCTGTATTCTGAATGAAGGCACAACTTGAATTATGCAGATGTTTTCCCAGTGGGGATTGATCTGCCTGGGAGCTTTCACTGTGTATCATAACTTTATTTTTTTTATTTTATTTTCTCTTTTTAGGGGGATGGTGGTCTCATGAAGGCCAGGACTTAAATTCAATGTGTGGCTGAAACTGACCTTGAATTCCTTATCCACCTGTGAGATGGGATTACAAGCAAGCACCATCATATTTCCATTTTTTTTTCATGTATGTTATTAGGTAAAACTAGGGATATGACTTTAGACCAAAACAAACTCAGAGAAGCAGGGTTTGATGGTGTATTTGAAACCTTCTTGCATGCCAGTGCAGATTTTATCACATGACTTTGTTGTGTATGGAGATGGAATCAGGACCTTGTGCCTTGCAGACACACTGTTGGCAAACGAAGAAACTGAGCTAGACAAAGAGGTGTGTGTGTGTGTGTGCGCGTGTGTGCGCACGCATGCAAGCCACATGAACACTAATTGGTTTTTGAGACAGAGTCTCACCATGTAGTCCTGGGTGTCCTAGAACTC